TCGACGTTTGGGAAGAGGCTGATTTTCCTCCTCTGCTGCCTTCTTCTCCGCCTTCGCTTTCGCTACCTGCGACTTTGCCCGTGGCTGCTTCTGCTGTTTTGGCTCTTTTGGCTCCTTTGGCTCCCTTTTGGCCCTTGACGATTGACGTAAAGCTTTCACTGCACACTCTGCAACAGCTTTGGCTTTGGCCTTGGCTGCGGTTTTCTCTGCCTCTGCTGCTTCAATCTTGTTACAAACATCAGCTTGGACAGCACGGAATACTTTGGATGGTGTACTTTGGCAAGTGGTTGCTGGGCTGGGAGGTGCAGGTGGAGCATCGGCTCCAGCCGATTGCTCCACTGATGCCCCCTCATTCTCATTGTCCACCTCCTTCTCGACAGTGACAGGCTCCGCGGATACTTCACCAATCAACCCTGAATTTGGCTCTTGTGCTTCAAGCTGGCCCTGATCACAAAGGGCAAGCAAACCATTTTCACCATCGCCAGTTTCACCATCAGTATTTTCACCATCCACGGCCACAACCTTCTCCTCAGTCTCATCCAGCTTGGCAGAAGCAGCGTCGGCTACAAAGGAATCCAAAATGTCTAAGGCCGAGAAAACTTCTACCAAAACAACCTCATCATCCTCCATGAGAGCCGGCCCAAGCAGGAATTTGAGCGATGCCTGGAGCTCTCCAATCCCTCCGATCTTTTCCACAAGGGGCTTGAGCTCCAAAGTCTTGTCCTCAAGCGCACGTTGGCTTTTGCCAATGTGGGCAGCTAGAAGCTTCTTGGCTTCCCGCAAGACCATCTGGAAGTTGGGATCATCATGGAACATGCGAAGAGCATCCTCATAGGCTTTCATAGGCTCTTGAAGTTGGAACTCTCCACCAACGGTCAATGCTTGCAAGCACTGCCGTCGCAGCCCCGGACTTGTGCTTGGCAATCTGCCTGTGGCCCACTTCAAGAAATCCAAAGCCATCTGCGCATGTACAACGACCTTCTCGCCGTAGGTGGTGGGTTGGTCTTGGTCTCCTGGTGACTTGCATTCCTTCTTCTTGACATCTGCAGAAGCTGCCTGCCAACATGCTTCAACGCTCTCTGACAACTCTTCTGTCACATAGTCTGTCACCAGACTAGGCCAGAACGAAACGAAGTTGGATTTTGACAGAGGCACCTCCACAAGTAACATCCCCGCAGGAATCTGCAAGACTTGGTCTGGCTTGAGCACCACACGGAAGCCGCCAATATCCTCAAACTCTGCCGGGTCCATCTCCACAATAAACGCTGAGATGGCAGTCAATGATGCGCATGCGTCTTTCTGCTTGGTGATGAAATGCTTCCGAATGGCCAAGAAGTCAACCCCTGCCATGAAGCGGAAGCCCTCAATGCAAGCAACGGTCCTTCCGAGGAGGAGCTCTGACAGACCTGGGTTGCAGCGCGCCACACCCCAAAAGATTTACTTGTGTGTGTGTGTGTGTGAACGTGTGCGTGTGGGCGTGTCTGTCTGTGTGTGCGTGTGTTCTTTGAATGTGTAAGGATACCCAAGGCTGCGGGCCAAGCTAGACCGACAATCTGCCATTTCCGTTCCCTTTTTGAACAAGCACATGCAGCTCAATAGTTCAGGACAGGCGCAACAAAATATTACGCCAAAAAAAACCGAACCGTGGAGAAAAAAACCGCCGGCACCAGGGGTAACACGCGTTATTCTTCCGGCTGTCCATCACCGTGGTCAACGCGTTCAGACAGGTTTTAAAGGGTTGTCTGATGCACTCACCAGATACCCAATCAGGGCTGAGCCTAGTCTACAAGCTTATACCTTCTCTCGAAGCCTGGACAGCATGAAGCGCTCTGCAACTCATGCCTTCAATACCCTTCACAGGAACAGGAGGGAGGCACGGGAGAGGGGACCACGAGGGACGTAGGACCAACTTAAGCCATGATCGGGGGTATAGGATGCTCACTGAGCTCGGAAGGTCCCAGGTTGAGGTCCAGCAGTGCCCACTGCGTGCGGAAGTTGGCGAAGAGCTTGGCGAAGAGTTGGCAACGCGGAAGTGAACATGGGAGTGGATGCAAAGGTGGTGGAGGAGAAGCTGGAGGAGAGGGAGGAGGAGAAGGAGGTGGAGGATGAGGAGGAGGAGGAGGCGGCGGCGGAGGAGAACAACTGTGATAAAATCTAACAACCCTCACCTGGCAGGTGGGGAAATAGATTAGAATATGGCAACACGGGACCATATGGTCTTCAAAGAATGTGAATTTAAGAAAACAATGGCGTGGGTTTCATTTGCGAAGCGTGCTGTTTCGCTTCAAAGCCATGATTTCAATGATTTCAATCGAGAAACTTGTGTCTCCAATTTTCTTTCGCTGAGCCCATAGTATCCTGAACCTTCTCTTTGGCCTGGCTTGAGGCTGATCGGGAAGTAGGATGGATCCAACACGGGGCCACATGGTCCCCAATGAAAGGGTGAGCGGAAGCATGCAAGGAAGATAGCATTGGGTTTGATTTGCGAAGCATGCTGTTGCATGTCAAAGCAATGGGTCAGAGTCAAAGGGGGAAGCGAACCGACCATCTTCTGTTTCGAGTTCCGCATACAGTATGCAGCTCAGTAGTTCAGGACAGGGTCAAGAAAACATGACGCCAAAACATTCAGAAACCTTGAAAAAACACCCGTCCGCACCAGCCACGCCAACACGCTCAAATAGGCCCCAGCTCACCTCCCCATTCCCTCGTGTGCACGGGCCAAATAGCCAATCAGTGCTGAGCCTAGCCTGCAATCTTATACCTTCTCTTGAGCCTGGTCAGCATGAAACACGCTCTGCACCTCATGCCTTCAATACCTTTCACAGCACAGCATCCCCGGCAAACAACAGGGGGCAGGAAGCAGCTGAGCGTGACATCTGTTACCTCTTGCCGTTTGCAGCATTTGTCGCGGAGCGACATGAATTACTGATTTGCCATCGGGCCACCCACAAACTGGAACTCTGCTTTCGCACATTGGTACCGCAAGCGGAAGAGTTTGGCAAGTATGCCTTGAATGTCTGCAGGCTTGTTCTTCAAATAGTCATGGGATCCTACACGGTACTCATCACTTCCCCAGAAAGTCATTCGCAACACTTGCTCTGCAGGGCTCGTCCAATTCTTGGATTTCAATGCTTGGGAGAAGCAAACGCACTTGTCGGTGCAAATCTTTTGCCAAAAAGACTGGACAACTGCTTGCTTGTTCTTCGCTGTGTCGAACTCGGAAAATTTCTTGCACTGCTCCAAGACATCGGGAGGTGGGAGATGCGCTGAGAAGCCGTCAAAGAGAAGGACCTTCAGCTCCAGACTCCCTTCGCAGCACTTTGCCACAGAATCACTGGAGTCAACAACAGTCACATTGACAGCGGAAGTCTTGCTCAGAAGCTTCCACTGATGAGGTGAAGCAAATTGCTCCTTGGATTTGCGCCCACCCTCTGGATCCTCATTTTCTGAGCCTGAGCTATCTGAATTGCTGCCAATACCAGACTTCTCGGAACCATGATCTTCCTCTTGCCGTGTACCTTGGAAAGAAACAGCAAGGGTCAGGCAGAGCAAAAAGTGCAAATACAACTGCACACATTCAAGTTTAAATTGGAATCGCTAAAATTTGGCCTATGCGTCGACCCTGCTACTGAACATTTCGTCTGCAACCAATTTGTCCCAGGGGCGAGCTTCCTCAATCGCCTCATCAAGCGCGTCCTGGCAAACCTTCACCGCAGCAGTAATACCATTCAAATTCTTCTGGTAGGCTTTCACACGCTTTGCGTCAAGGTCGTCATCCTCCTCAAAAACCGCACGATATAGCTTGTCACTGTTGGGGCTGCGTTCAAGGTGGTGCTCCCCAGCAGCTTCTGTGGCTTTGTCGAATGCGACACGCGAATTTTCATCAGCACTGCCCTTCTGAATTTCCATGTCTTCCACAACCTCATGTGGCTGATTGGCTAAGAAGCGCGCCAGCTGCTTCCCCAGCAAGTCGCAATTCCTTCGCAAGATATGCTCAAATTCAACATCTCCCACGTTGGGGCTTGACACAAATGCTGGAAAATGAGAATGAGAGCTTAGGGTGTGAGTCTGAGAAGTGCACGGCTTGCAGTCTTCCAGCTCCAAAGCCATCTCCAGCTGTTTCCCGCTCTCCACAAACAAGTCCAAGCCGGCGCTGGCCTCAGAACGACTTATTCATGAGATTGCTGTATGATGAGTGGATCGACACCCTCAGTAGCAGGCTGAATTTTTGACGACCTGTCTGCGAGCGCGAAGAGCTGCAATCCTTTGAACATCACGTTCGGCGTCCTTGTTCCTCGCCCTTTTCCTGCATCAAAAATCAATAAAAAAGGGCGCCCAAAGACATTGAATTTTGAAGCTTGCAAATGGCGACAACACCATGCACTGAGTTGACCAGTCTTGCTGCCTTGGTGAATCTCCATCTTGCACTGCCTTCCTCTTTCCAGAGCCTGAAGCCTTTCCCTTTGCTTTGGCTTTCGCTTTGGAAGCTGGGGCCACAGCAGATTCCATCTCCAGCACCGACGACTGAGTAAAATCTGCCAAGCCTGGGCTAAAGACTCGTATTTGTCAAGATGCAAATGATGCAAAAGGACATCGCCACCAGATAAGGGTCCCACAATGCTGGTCAAAGATGGAGGTGTCCCGATGCAGGGTGCCGCTCTTCAAGCCTCAACACACTGGGAAGTTCAACCGTGCCATCTCACCCACAAACCCTCCCAGTATCAGTATACTTCCAGAAATATATTTCGAAGGGGTTGCTGAGATGGCTGTATAATTTAAAGGACCACAGCAGCGACCCGACAAGGTTGAACATTCAACATCAACCAACCTCGTTTTCTCAGATGAGGTCCAAACGTTTGGCCATATCGTGCAACGAGTCTTCAGAAGCTGTCTGGATTGAGGATGTGCTCAAGCCAGACTTGTGAGCCAGTTTGCGCTCCCCAACCGACCTTTCAGGATTGGTGCAAGGGACCTGTAACAATCCAATACCATTCCAAATACTAAATAACTATATATATAAATCTATATATAGACATTCGAGAATTCAAAAGCAGCTGACTCATCAAGATCTTGGGGCCAGACTTGACACTCGACAACGCTGGCATAGTGACCCAGCCACGTTCATCTTCGGACTTTGGAACTTTGGGGTCTGCCAGCAATGTTTTCCATTCCTCCTTGGCAACTTCTTTATCCATACCCCAACGCCTGCGGCACTCCTTGACAAATTGCCGTATGTTGACATAGTCCTTTGCCTTCTGAAGGGCTATGCTGTCCGACACATCGACCTCAGTAGTTAATGTCTTCATCGCAGAAAAACGAAATCTTGAAGAATCAGGATGCTAGGACTACACACGGGCACGCGACACAAACACCCAAACGTATCCCCAAGTCCGCGGCTCTTTCTGTAATCTCAACGGGGAATTTCTTCCCCTTTCCGGCGCTCTTGTTGCGATTCTTCTTGATCTCTTGAAACTGATCTCGTCTGTTCATCTTCTTCCAAATATGTTCCTGCCCGGCGTCTTTGTACGCCTTCATCACTGCAACACGAGCGCAATTGCACAGTTTGCATGAATAAGTCGACCCTCGCTTCACGCAAGCAGACAAGGCGAACTTGTCTCCGCAGTAGCAACACCTCGGGAACGGTGGTCATGCACAAATACAAATCATGCACGAAGGGCACGATCAAGGCCCAGACGTTTGGTTCTTGCCATTCTCACTTTCCTGCTTCTTGCCGTTCTTGCCAAGGGCCTGCGGAGCAGCTCGCCACGAGACGAGACTGTCCCGTATCTCTTTTTGCTCGTGGCTGAGGGCCCAACCGATTTGCGATCAGCACGGGCAGTGGGAGCCGGAGCTTCTGGTGGGTCCTCAAGATCTGCGGCCTTAGCCTTCTCAGGCGAAGGCGGATGATCTACAGGTTCTCGTTTGGTCTCAGACTCTGAAGCTGAGCCTGACTCCTTGCTACTATCAGACACTGAATCATTAAAATGATGGTCTGCGTCCCTCTTCGGCATGAAGGCAGGCAATCGGGTTGGCTCAGGGCTCTAGAAAGAAAAGCAAGCGCAATGTTAACGCGAGCGCTAGAACCCACAAAATGGCTGACAACCGAACTATAGCCCCAATGCTTGCAACCATCAACTGGACCAGGCCCTGGAATCTGAGCTGTGCACTTTCAAAGTGGAAAAACAAAACAAGAGAAGGAAATTAGGAGTGGTGAGAAGTGAGAAGTAGAGGGAGAGGTCTGATCAGGATGTCACAGAAACATACAGAAACTGTCGGGAAGCAGCTCTGGCTGACTGGTGATCAACATGCAGTGGCGCAGCTGTAGTCGAACAAAATCAAGTCTGACAGCCCTCTGCCGCTCAATTTTCTAAACACCTCCCACGTCCAGCACCAAGTAAATTTCACAGGCCCCTGGCCATGCGACCTGCGTCCAAATTACCTGCATACAGCCAGCGACTGACGCTAGCACCGGGTGGCTTTCTCACTCAGGTCTGGTCAAAAGGAAGCATTTCACCAGTACTGCCGCGATGCATGCAAAGTGCATGCTGTTTCCCACCTCCAGTCAACATTAAGACAGGCCCATTCAGAAAACATCGCGAACCAATGTCACATTCACCGCAGCCATACAAGTACATAGCTTAAGGCAACATGATTGCTGCATAGCCACCCTAGCGCAAAGAGCAGTATTTGACACCATCGTGGCATTATAGGTCTTGATCCCCAAACATCGTGAGCATGCATCAGCTACTGGCATTCCGTGGGCCGCAGCAAGTTCCAAACCACCTTGGCCAAACATTGAGACTTGCAAGCACATGTCTAAGATAGTTGGCAGGTTGCATGATACTAACAATCACATGGTCAAGACAAGCACAGCTCAGCAGCTGACAGTACAGATGTCGCTTCTGCAGGTGCATCAACTTGCAGCAGCCGCACGTCAGTGTGGGGAAAACATCTTGACTAAAGCGAGCACGCTTTTTGGGGTTCTGGTTCAGATCTGCTACGCAATTCTTGTTCTTTTTGCTGGACATAGATCGATATCCTTTTTCAAAGACTTTCTGAGACTGAGTGAGGGACTGGTCCACTTCTGCTCTGGCAAGAGGCTTTGTCAAAACAAAATCTTTCACTGTCAGCTCGAAGTTCCAATCATTGCTCTTCAAAAGACGGTCAATGAATGCCTGTAGTTCCACACAGCTCCTAGGTTCCAAAAAAACTTCTTGGGCAAACAGGGCAACCGATTGATTCGCCGCCCTTGCAAGGGTGACAAATCCGAGATTGAAATTTCAGGGCTAAGAGACAAAATGCTGGTATCTGTGGGACTTGTCAAAACATTTCCATTGGCAGGCGTGTGACTCAAGTTCAAAAAATTGCATTTCGCCCGCGCAGTGAAGCAATTGTGTTCTTCGAGTGCTAAAACAAATATTTGACATGTATGTTTTCGTACTAGCTACGTAAGAAGGCTCCACCCGAAACCCTCCCATCTAAAAGAGAGTCAGCCGCGTCGCTTTGCGCTTTGTCAATTCCAATTTAAAAACCTTTCCCACATGTTGAAACGTTCGCGACAAAGAAAATGCGAGGCTATCGCCAAGGTAGGAGTACAAATGATCTATCCAGAAATCATATATGACAGCTTCACTCAAGACACGCCCTGCAAGTTTAGTATTTTGTAGCACCAACCCATATGTGTTGATCCCTTAGATAATCACAAAAGATCACAAACATAACATGGGATAAAGACAATATGGAAGCACTGACCACTTGTGCTTTGTAATTGGGTTTCTGAAAATAAGACTCTTGAAAGAAAACCTGTTTCCAAAATTCCTGTCGAAAGTAACATCTTGTGATTCCGGAACCCTACCGAGACAACCAGTTAATCGGATTAAAAATCATTTGGAGTTTGTCTGGTTTGGGGTCATCTCACTTCCAAGTTACCTGCCAGGAAAATACTTCCGCAGAGAAACCGGCGGAGGATAGGAACCGCGTGACGCGTAGAGAGAATAGAGTAGAAGAGGAAGAGACAAAGCAGAAGACCAACGCAGGATAAAGACCGGGCAACGTAGAAAGCAAGATACCGGCCCACGCGCGCGCAAGGAGGATCTTACGTCCGAATACGCAATCGCAACAAGCCGCAATTGCAAGCATGCAAACATCCACCAGATCTCAGATCATCCTATTTTTCTTCACCTCTGTTTATACTCGTCAAGAACGTTATCACACACCCCCACACTCCCCACACCCTGTTGACCTTAAGAGAGCATGTGCAACATGTTCAGAACGGCAACCATTTCCGTGGGCCCTGCGTTATACTCCTCAAAAACATTTTCACACCCCCTTCCATCCCCCACCCCCCTTGTTTACCATAAGAGAGCATGTTCAACATGTTCACAACGGCAACAAGTTCTGCGGGCCCTGTGTTATACTCGTCAAGAACGTCATCACACCCCCTCCCCCCACCCCCGTGTTAACCATAAGAGAGCATGTGGATGTTGGAATATGGTTAAATTTATGAGGCTCCTTTTTGGGGGCAAAGGCTATTACAAAACTTACATAGTATCCCAAAAAATTGACCAAACGCATCTTTGCAGGAACCTTGAGACATCCAACCCCTAAATTCAATTCTTGAACCATCATTTTCGCAACCTTCATCCTTCAAATTTTAACCCTGCTAAGGGATCGTGAATGGCACATCTCAAAATAAGCAATCTTCCAAGGGCGGCGTATCAGCCGCATGCCCCAAACAACAATATATATATACTTTCAATTTCTTTGATGTCTTGATCATGTGGCATCACAAAAGGCAACCAAGAATCGTGGCCGCTTCTTTTAAGATACACACTGCGTACTGACGTGGACGCCGCACTGGGAATCCAAAAAATTGAGGGTCCAACTCCACCGCCTCCACTGCAAACTCAGGTCCTGCCCAAAGCTGACATGCACACACCAAGGAACAAAAGATATTCCACCGACTGCTGCAGCCGCCCCTCACAAAGTCATTGGAACCCCTGCCTAAGATCTGGGCCATTTTGGACACTGGAAAGTTGCACACGTTCTCGTGCAAAAAGACCTTTGGGCGGCCTTGTTTGACCATCTTCATCCTTGGCATGGTCAGGTCTGAAAATTGCGAACGAAAGGAGGTGCAACACTCCGCAACAATGCCCTAAACAAAAAGACGAGAAAGTCTGGGGCCGGCAAATTGGGATGAGTTTCTGTACCATGAACAGCGGTGCACTCGCCCCACTTGCACCTCCATGCTTTCCAAAGTTCGAATAATCCACGCACTGAGTGCCAGCCACTTTCAACGACAAAATGTCTTTGGCGACATTGGGGGATGAAATTCTCCTACATCTTTTTTGGTGCGTGTAGCAATAATCAAACTCGTCAAGGGTAACACCGTCGGCAAAGAGGATATCTTCTAGCTCTTGGTAGGATTTCCTGTGTGGCTCAGCTCTAGTTCTGTTCGCAGGTTGTCTGGAATCACAAAACCTGTTTCAACCATTGAAAACCCCATGATCCCAAAAAAATGCTTCAAACCCTTTAGTGGCAAAGGTAGTGGCAAACGTTCTTAGTGGCAAAGGTAGTGGCAAAGGTGTGGCAAACGTTGTAGTGGCAAAGGTGTGGCAAAGGTAATACTAAACTAAGAAGGGAAACCTTTGCCACACCTTTGCCACTAAATTAACCTTTGACACCAATAACCTTTGCCACCCCCACCTTTGCCACTACCTTTGCCACTACAACCGCTTTGACTAAATTTCCCTTGCTGTGACTGTCCTCCTAGAGAAAACAAAGTACAAGGGCTTGGCGCCGTCATTGGTCAAAAGGTTCTTGAGTTTTCCCTTAGCCCCTTCGAGACCCTGGCTTTGGCTCTTACAGGCATGCAAGAGCTTGCAATCTTGCACTGCGTGCCCCAATGCCTTTCGCAACCTGCCCTCTTTGGTGAAGAGTTTGTCGAAGGAACCTGCTGCCTGCACGGCAGCAACAACATCTTTTGGTTTAATCTTGAAAGTCTCAGGAACTTCTGCTGTTAGCTTCTTCCTCAAGTCATCTCCCGCTACATTCATGATGTCTCCAAACACACAGCCGCCGACATTCTCAGAGAGCAGCGTTCTACACGTTGCGTTCACATCACCGGAAGTTGCACGACACATGACTTCCTGACCTGTGGTTTCCTTAGACTTGGCAATAACAGACTGCAAAGCCAACTCTGCAGTTCCATAGCCGGAGAACTCAGAAAACAACAGCACCTGACTCCATGGAATGGCCTTTCCCGAACTCATGTCCTGTGCCATTTTCACAAACTTCTCTACACAAGCGAAAGCCCCTTGAACCTTCGTGCTTATTGACCTGATGGCACGCGAAGGTGGGGCCCTCTGACCGTCACTGTCTGCATACATGGCCTGTAGTTCAGGCAACGCAGACAACAAAGGCTCATCAATCATGTACGTCAATGGGATTGGTTGAGCCGGCACTTTGAACCAAACTTTCTGGCATAAGTA